TTTGCATTGTTTTTGTTTTTTTTTTTTTTTGTTTTGGTCTACTATACTATATAGTCTTTTTTTTTTCTTTAAATCTGTGAATTGCTGGTCTCCCCCACTAGAATGTAGAATGTAGGCTTTTCCAGAGCAAGTGTTTTTGTTTTACTTTTTCTAAAGTCAAGAACAGTGAATGACAAAGAATACCTACTCAAGAAATATTGAGAACCAAAAAAGTGTGTGAGTGGGGGTGCTCCCAGCATTCTACTATATCCGCTATCCATAGAGTTAGGCGACTTAAAGATCCCAAACTAGACTGGTGTGCTTTTATTACCATTGTACATATTGTATTTTCAATTATTTCTGAGGCATCTATTTATACCTCGCTGTCCCCACCAAATGTCCCTATCAAAATTCTACCCATCTCTGGTCAGGTCAAGAACTGGTCAAAGGTTTTCTTCTAGAGAAGTCCTCTAGTTTCCTGTAGCCCATTAATGATCATTTTTGAGTACTCCCATTAACTACCTTTCATTGGATCATCATGTACACTTGGCATCTAGTATATTGAAACTGCCACTTATTTCTTATACTGTTATGTCCATCTGACTTGGTAAGTTTCTTCAGTTCAGGTAGCCAGCTTGATATCCCCCTTAGCTTTTTATGTAATTCCTCCATGTAGTACGGCTTTAAGTATTTTGATTGACAGAGCAATAAAAGACTATAGACCTTGATATGTTTCTATGATGTAATTACAAATTCTCAGTTTATTATAAAGAATTAATTTGACCTGAAATATTATCCCTAATTCTAAAGAAAGGTATACACATTATGTTCATATTCTTTACACAGTTGCCAGAATGAAGATGAGAACACGTTTCAGTTTTCTGAGAAGAGTCTAGTGTTTCGACAATCAGAGCAACACTAGCAAGATTATCAATTTCACTTTGTTCATTTGTAGGACAAATAGTAAAATTAATATGTCAAAACTTAGGAATATGGTTTATCTAAAAATAACAAGACATTTTAACAATCCTAGAATATTTTAAATAAATTTTTATAGTCGGAATTTTTTTAAAAAGACATTTTATATTAGGATACAGAAGAGAAAGTCCTATTTTGCTGCTTGCCTTTTGGACGGGTTGGTGGTGGTGAGGATAGGGACGGCGAGTTTTGGAACATCTTATGTGGCTACATCACATATCAATGCTATTGCTAAATGCCCTCGTCCAATCCTGAACACAAATCCCTGGTCTAGTTGTAACTGAATAAATGAAAACATTAAAAGAATCAATGGAAACGTGAACTAAATAACCTTTAGAAAATCAATATATAATAAGTAACAACGTAATCAGAATAAAGATTCAAGAATTTGAGATCAACATTATTAAACTATGTTTATATGACAGCCCATATAGGTCTTCACAGAAACATTTTTTACAACAAAGCTTTAAAAATGCAGATTGGTTACAGCTTATTTTGATGCTGAAATATTGTAACAAATGTCCTGCCTGGTATTAGAGACACAAGTGCAAGCCACAAAGATACCAACTGTTACACTGTATGCCATAATTTCTTTCCTGTAGTAGGAAGGCATCAGAGCGTAGATATCAGTACTCTTAGATTTATAAAGCCTCCTGAATATAATATTAACTCAAGCCAAAGCAGAAATAAAAGCCAACTATTTCCTACACCATAACAAACCTGCCATTATCTTACTAAAAAATTTAACAAATTAAGGTTTAAAGAGTAATCTTTTTTTGTGTCCCATCTCGATAAAATGCATTTCTAAGGAAACTTTCTTCTGGTTCACAAAAAACAAACAAATCCCAAAATAAACAGTAACTACAATAACAAAAACTGAAACTACCTTTAAATACTGCTTTAACTGGATTCCATATTTTGGGGGGTTTTTAAAATTATAATCACATGTAAAGTTCTCACCACAAATATTTAATGCAATTGTGCTTCATGCCAGAGTAGAAACAAATCTTCTTCATAATTATGTCTGATTTATTGTGCAGAAGCAAAAGAAAAGCAGCCAATGTATAGAGGAGACTACAAATTAAGAGTTACTTACTAGTAGATTAATGGGAAGGCAAACAGTTAAAAGTGATTTCACTTTAGTGTTCTGAACAATTATCTATCAATGAGTTAAATACAATATATACACTTTGAAAAGGCAACCTACTGAATGGGGGAAGATATTTGCAAATGATACCATTAAGAGGTTAATATTCAAAATATATAAAGAATCTATACAATTTAACACCAACCAACCAACCAACCAACCAACCAAACAAACAATTCAATTAAAAAATGGGAGAGAACTTGAATACACATTTCTTCCAAGAGGACATATAGATGGCCAACAGACAAATGGAAAGTTGCTCAACATCCTAATGATCAGGAAAATGCAAATCAAAACCACAATGAGCTATCACCTCATATCTGTTCAGAATAGCTATCATCAATAAATCAACAAATAATAAATGCTGGTGAGGATGTGGAGAAAAGGGAACCCTTGTACACTCTTGATGGGATTGTAAATTAGGGCAGCTACCATGGAAAACAGCATGGAGATTACTCAAAAAATTAAAAATAGAACTGCCATATATATGACCTAGCAATCCACTTCTGGGTATTTATCCAAAGGAAACAAAAATATTGATTTGAAAAGGCACACTATGTTCATTGCAGCATTACTACTTACAGCCAAGATATGGAAGCAACCTAGATGTCCATCAGTAGGTGACTGGATAAAGAAGATGTGGCACATGCACATAAGTGCACACACACACACACACTCACACACACACACAGGAACATTATTCAGCAATGAAACAGAATGACAGTTTGCCACTTGCGACAGCATGAATGGACCTAAAGGGTATTATGTTAAGCAAAGTAAGTCAGAGAAAGACAAATTCTCTGCATGGTATCACCCATAGTTACAGAGAACAAAGGGGAAGAGGTGGGGGGGGGGTGGGAATAAAGAAAAACAAAACAAAACAAAAAAGTTTAAAGGAAAGCACTTTAGAGATAGTCTTTATAAAAATCTAAGTGCTTTATTAGCATCCATGTATTCAGAGAATACCCTGTAAAATACATAAAATCAGAGTCTCTATGCCTTTCGTGGAGACAAGCAGCAATCTTTCAAGTTATAAGAATCTACCTAGATGGGACTTCATAAACCTGAAACCAAACCAATTTATACCAAACAAGTTTTTGTTTTACTGTTTGTTTTATTTTCATGTAGCATCAAGAATACAACTCAAAGTAACAACAGAATCTTCCTTTTAATGCTTACATATTGGGTTGAACCATGGGAAATCACTGATGTTAGACCCATTTAGCCTACAAAATGGTAATTTCGTATAATTTGACCTAATATTATCCTTATGTGGATAATAATTGTACCCTTCAATCTTATTCTGTTTTGTACCACAACTACAAATTTGTCATGTGTTTATTATACAGAATTGTCCTTTAGAAGTAACAGGTACACCGTACTCCTGAGTTAGAGTCCTATAGACTAGCTGACTTTGGCATGTCTGGATTGCCATCCGAGGACAGAAACCCTGTTATCAATTGCTAGGTGGCAGTTATGCTCACCTCCATAGCACACTGTCGAGAACATCTGAGCTCTTCAGGTCATGAAGCTTTGCAAAGCTTGAAGGTACTGGCAGGGAGAGGGAGTCTCAAAATGTGGACTAAAGGTTGTTGACAATCTGTGATATCTTCTAAGTCAGAAACGCCCAATTTTAGTCTACTGACTACCTCCTAAGAAAGCAGCACATTTCAAAACCACTTAACTTTTGCTCATCTCACTACAGGGGCAAAACCCAACTCACCAGAATTTTAAATTTCAGCAGCATGCCCTTTGAGTAGTTAATTGCACACGAGTTTATTGAGCACCTACTATAAACCAAGCACTGTGGCAACAGTTAGATGTCTAGTTATTTTTTAATGTCATAAGTTATTAATGCACAAGTGCTAGTAGGGTTATTTTATAAATATGAACACTGTAAGAGACAAGATCACAGACCGCTTGAGGTCCTACTTGTCATCACCAATTCCTGGACTTCTCTTTGACAATCAGCCCCTTGCTTGCCTCTCCAGCTGATTTCTTGTCCCCGGGACCTCTCATGAGTGATCTAGGAGTCTTCTCTGTCTGGGATTAACACTGAAAGGACCCATTAATAAGTACAGTTCTGGTAAAGGACAGACTCAAGATGGAGTAGTCTCTCTACAGAATTCCTCTATAATAAATACAGATCTATTGGAGAGTGTGTAATGTCATAATGTCAAGTGTTTGTTTTGTTTGTTTTCCTTTTTGGCCATGCATTAATAATTTACCCAAAATATTTAACTTTACTGACACTGTCAAAGTAGTGTCGCCAAAGACCACGCCATTCCTCCCATTTGTTCTGATTAGTTTGCACCGACTAGCAGAATCATGAGCAACAATGATCTGCCTTGCAAAGATGAACAGACTCAAATTGAAAGGCTAAGACTCTCAATTTTTGAAGACTTTGGATATACTGGCTACACTGAGTAAATAAGTTATCCATATGGAATTTTTATAAACAAAACTGCAAGTATAAGAAATACCTCTTAATGTTTGCATAATTCATCAGAAAGGATAAACAATGGAAAATGATGTTTTTCTTATAGCTTCTAAGGAGAAGACTAGAAGTAAATTTAATACCTCTGAAAGGCAATTAACAAAAGAAATCTGTTCTGTGACAGCAAGTGAAATGTAACCTGGGGGGGCATCTGGCAGGGGGCAAGGACCTTGAGATGAAACAGTGAGTATGGATTAGACAGTTCAATGTCCTCAAAGTGAAGGCTTTTCGGGAAACTGGTGCTGCTTTCCCTTGTGGCTATTTAGACATTTTGTAAACATGACTTTTTGCACAGTTTTTGCAATTTAGCCCACCTTTTATCTCCTCTCCCACACACTTTTTAAGGAAAATGGATTATACCAAATAATTAAATGCCACTAAATGTCAAAGAAAACTTACTGTGGTAGAATCAAAAGAAAGGACGTCCACAACAGGGGGAGTAGAGGTCTGCAAATCAATTACCTCAAGTTTTGGATTAATCTGTATATGTACATAAAAAAAATTAATATTAGATTTTTATACTATACGAAACTAGATGCCATTTGTAACAACCTAGAGAGTATATCCTAATATATTCTAAAATTAAAATATATTGGTATATTCATTAACATGGATGTAAACATTTGAAATAAAATATTAGTCTACCAAATCTATCAAATGTATAAGAGAAGCTCGTCATGACCACATTAAATTTATTCCAGGAACAAAAAGTTGATTTTACATTAGAAAACTCTATATAATTCTCCTGTAAGGGGATTTTTAAAATAAAATAAAATGACCCACCTCAAAAGATGCAGAAAAAATCCTAGAGAGTTTATTAAGACAAGGAAATAAAAGGTGTTGAGATGTAAGAATTGGAAGAGAAGAAATAAAATTGTCATTCTATATAATTATCTATGGAGGAATCCCAAAAGAATTTACTGCTATACCATTAGAATAAAAGAGTTTACTAGATTGAAAATCAATATATAAAGTCGACTGTATGTCTGCACCTTAAGACAGAAAATGTAAATTTAAAAAAGATATTTACGATATCATAAAAATTTTTAAATACATCAAAATAAACATACAAAGATGTGTATAAGCTTAATGGGAAAAAATAATGAAACTCATGTAAAGACACTAAAGGCGGCTTAACTAAATAGAAAGCTATACCATAAGGAGCTCAGATACAGAGCCCTGTATATATGGAAAATAGATATAAAAGGAAAATTGTACCATAAGTCAAGAGGAAAAATGTTTTATAGTTGAGAAAACTGGCTCAGTATATGAATCCCTATCTAATACTAAATACAAAGGTGGACAGCAGATAAACTAGAAACCCAAGTACTATGATAAAATTATAGAGTTAATAAAAGTACATCTCTTATAATATCTTTGTAACCCAAAAAGTTACAGTTTTATAACCCAAAGCTGCAAAAGCAAAACCATAAAGAAAAAATTTTTTGATGCATCTGATGATATCAAAATTAAGGTTTTCTATTTCACAATGGACACCACAACGTTAATCAGATAATAGAATAGAAGGAAATCGTATGCTGTCTAAAACCAAAAAAAGGATAAATATCTAAAAAATATAAGACAAACTTACAAAAACAAATGTGAAAAAGACAACAATTCCAAGAAAAAAACTATAGGAAAAAAAAACTTGACAGTTAACCAGCAAATGAAGAGATTTTCAGAAATATTAGTAATTAGATTAAAAAAAGATTAAAGCAAACTACAACTCGATACCTATTAAATTGCAAAAACATGAAAGCTCATTGATGCCAACATTACCTACAGCAGCATTGTTTGTAATGGCAAAACAACAACTGGGAAAACAAAACCCACCATCAGAAATCCCCAAGTATTTATCAACATTAGAATAATTACATAAATTGTGGGAATTACCACTGTGGTAATTCACTGGAATTCTGTACAGCAGTGTAAGGAATGAAATACAACCATGTGCAACAACACATGAATGTATGAATTCAGAGTCCATATGTATGAGCCTCAGAATTTTAATATTAAATGAAAAAGTTATAGGAAAATATATTCAGTATAATCTCACTTATATAAAGTTTAAAACCATCCAAAACTAAATAATATCTAAATATAGATTCAAACATAAGTAAAAAAAAAAAAAAAAAAAAGCAAGGGACTAATCAGAGTGGTGACAACTGAGAAAGATTATTTCTGAATTTGAGAAGACCAAAAAAAAAAAAAAAGGAAAAAGAAACTACATCATCACCAAACATTTAGTAAACATTATGAATACCAAGAAGTAAACAAAGGGTAACAAAGATAGCAGAACTTCATATGAAATGAATGATACCAATAATAAGTGCACCGAAGAACCTCAGGAAGAAACTGCTGACTGAGCACCTAGTGAGAAAGGCTTCCTGTGGAGCAGAGTTTAAGATGGCTCCTTTGAAGAAGGTTTAGAAAACAAAAACAAAAACAAAAACAGAGCAAGAGCAAAGAGGTAAAAAGCATTCCTGAGCAGAGTGGTGACATGACTTTTGCATAGAGTAGCAATAAGAGAGGTTGCCAAGGGTCAAATTCTGAACGGTGAAGGAATTTGGGAAGGCACAGAAAAATTAGAGGCTATAATGTGCTTTAGAAGGATTAACCTGACAGAGACATGTTGAGTATCAAGAATAAAGCATGGGTAACAAGGAGGGCACCACTGCAACAGTCCTGGACTGTGGTGATAAGGACTGAGCCAGAGGTAAAAGGAGTGGAATAATTTTAAAAGCACTTATCATGTTTGATGGGCATAGCTGTAGTTTTGGGAATAATAAGAAGCTTTTATAATTATCCAGCCAATTGTGTTAGAGGCGGAGGTGTACAAACCCGATAATCCCCATGCTACAGTAGAGAAGAGATTAGAACTGTGCAGGGTGAGAATGGGGGCTATCCACTCAGCCTGTCAACACTTTCGTTCCTTTCTGGCTGTTCCATAAAGCAGAACACACAGCCCCCTCCTATCAGCTCTCAGTCCAGAGTTAAGGCAAAGAAAAGAAACCTAAAGATGGCCCACTTTCCTTTCAATATTAGACTAGCTGTCCAAAGACACTGCCTGCAGACATTTTATTGTCTTTTATCTGCTGCCACCTAGCGTAGATATGGAATTCTTTCCGTATGAAAAATACAATCTAGTACCATCTAAAATTACAACTGCTCAAAAAATCTAAATCACATGGAAATTAATGGTCAGCATCTCTCGCAGAGAAATCTTTAAGCTTCTACAAGTTGTGAAACTATTGATACAACAGTATTTTACTGTATTGTGGCACAAGTTGCCACCACAAACTTTAAATGGAATAGGAAATTCGTACTAAGTAAAAGTTTACAGTCTTCTCCATAAAGAACACATGTTGAAGGCGAGGACACACACAGTAAAGTTCTTTGCTAGCTAACCTCCAGGAACACTAACAGTATCTTCTAGCTCTCTTATTTTTATTAAAGAGAAGAACCCTTTAACAACTAAAGTTGCCTTGAAATGGAGTGGGCTCCTTGTGAGAGCTTGAGAAATCCATCACTGAACAAGAGCATATAACTGAGGGATTCATGCATGTGAGAGAGGTTAGTCTATATGATCTCAAAAGAACCATCCCACTCTGAGGTTCTCTGTATCCAGCATACTTAGTAGTCCATGAACACAAACACTGCTACTAACAAATTCTGAAGGGCAAAGAATCTGCCTATTTTGTTCCCTGCTGCATACTGTAAAGCTAGTACAATGTCCAGCACATAGATATTTAATATCTGCTAACAGGATGAAATTTAATTTTGATTATATTAAAGCATTACATCAAAATGGTTAAAAGTACATAACAGAACCAAAGTGCCTGGGTTGAAATTCTAGTGTTGCCACTTACTAGTTTTAAGATTTAACTTGCATGTACCTCAGTTTCTCATGGGATAAAAATGGTACAACTTCATAGTTTTTAGTAACATTCAATGACTTCATTTACGTAAAGCCATTAAAATAAAGTTACATGTATTAGATATTATTATTATAATTACTATTATCATGTAATTGATGAAGAACATTTATTGAGGTACAAAACAATAAAAGCATATATCATGACAAGAACCAAAATACAAAATTGGTAGAGAAGTGGTCATTTTTTATCACAATTGTAATGTTCTCAACCTTTACAGATGATTGAGATAAAAACCCATCTCTGACTTGAAGACAAATTGATTACTTATAGCTTTAAACAATGAATTGTTGCCAGATTTTCAAGAAATATTATTATACATTAAGTTTCTCCTTCAAGAAGGAAAGTTTGCTTTTGACTGTGCAATTTGGCTCATGACAGTCTGAAGAAGATAAAGTCAGCATGACCTAGTAATGTGCCGCAGAGGATTGTGGGTAGGGTTAAGACACATTACTTGAAAATTGGGCTTCTTTCCCACCAAAAAAAGAAAGTTTTCGTGTTTTTAATTAAGATAGAGTGCCTAGGCCAGGAGCACTACAAAGGATCCGCAGTTACATCAATAGAAAGGACACAGGAGAGGTCTGTTTCATACAGTCGGGGTGAGGATTTTATGCTTCATACTTTCTTTCATGTGATCTCTCTCATCTCTTCTAAAAGCAACCTGCTAACACCCTGTCTACTCATGTAGGAATTATTAATTTATATATTTAGTCAGCTGGTACCCAAGGTCTAAGATTCCACAGGGTCCCCCACCTTCAAACAAGTGGAGCTTTGAAGCTGGCAAATGGGTGGCTTTTGCAAAAGAACAATCTCACCCAGAAGACTGAAATTATGCAACTCAAATGAGCTTCATAGAAAAAACACAGTAAAATGCAAATTGCAGGTAATGCTTTGTTGCTTCAAACTCGAAAATGAAACATTCATGGCTACTTCAAAAGGAGAAAGTTGGTGAAATTAGATTATTTAGATGCCATTTGTTATCATCTAATAATACATTTTATTCTTTTAACCATGAATTCCAACCTCAAAAAAAAGTTTTTGCTAATTTTCAAATATTTTCAAAGTAACATATGTAAGCTGACCTTGCCTAAAGCTTTGAAAAAAATTCAATCCACAAAATTTAGTAGTTCAAAGTAAAGTTTACTTAATCTAAATGAACACAGCACAACTTCTAGTCTGATTCATGCTATTCTATTTTAGGTGATATTTTCAAACTAATAGTTTATGGCTCTATGAGAGATTCACAGACATTAATTTGAAGTCTTTAAAAATAATTTGATATTTAAGAATTATTCATAATATTAATTATGTTTTCAGTCCAGAAAACTTTATACCTTGCTTTATCAGGAGAGATTTTTAAGAAAAATAAATTGAACAATTGGTTGTTCATATGCAGAATCCTATCACTTCTCTGGCATTTTATATCACAGATATGAAGGTGTTATATAAATGTAAGTAATATTGTGTGCTTAATTTTAAGCAACCATGAGTGTTTATAGATCGTTTAAACAGAGAACACACAGGCTGACTTTCTTAAGGCCACAATGTAATTTAGTGACAATGCTCAACATTCTGTACAATGTTAACTGAACTATAATTCCAAGATAAAAAGTTAGTTTTTAATAGAGTTTTTTAAGTGTATACGTTAAAACCACAGCTGAGAGTGGCTTTGTGCTGCCTGGGTCATCCTGACCTAGTCATACAAAGCAACCCAGCTAGTTGACTGCTTTCTGGCTGCACTGTCAGAGAAGAGCTCCTCAGACAACTTGCTGACATTTTAAAGAAAGCCCAGCACTCTTAAATGGGGTGAGAATGACAGTAAATCACAGAGAAAATGGCCTGAATGGCTCGAACCACCAACGCTGAGGTAGTGTGGTGTGATGGAAATATCACTGCATTAGGAGCAAGGAGATCCAGGCTCAGTCTGCAGCTCTGCCACCCATCACTCTGGAAAGGTGGCTGAGTGGATGACAGGGCAGCAACAACACTGTTGGTTAAGCTTAGCCAAGCCACAGAAATGCTAGAATAAAAAACACAGAGAGTCAATACAACTGGCTTGGGTTAAACCAGGAAAGGAAACTCAAATTAAGATATATTTCACATATATTTTATGTGAATACGTGTGATCACAGGGGATCAAAAAATACATCCATTATTGTAGAAACTAAAACACAAATGTGGTGAATCACAAATAAATTACATTATATTCTTTCTTTCAAAGAAATAAAAAGAAAAAATGATACAATAAGTAGCATGAAGAAGTAGTAAAGTCTAATGGTAAATACTTTAGAAGAACTAGAAAGATGGTTAGAAGTTGGTAAGGACCAAAATTATAGCAAAGAACTGGAAATAAATAGTACTAAGGAAAAACTGGACATAAATATCAAAATGTGGATAGATTAAACGAAATCTAGAAAATAGTCCCAAAAGTTTAAAAGTTTGAAAAACAAACTTACACACACACACATACACACACAAAACCTGAGACTAACAGAAATACCTGAGATCTGAGATAACAGAAAACGCCTAGACTAAGGAAACAAAAATTAAATAAATGATTGAGGGGGCGGGGCACACAGACCATGAAAGAGGGTACACAGAACCATAGCACAAATAGTGCATGAGGCAACTGTGAATTGCCACTCAAGAATAAACCTTAACTCAAAACACTTAATCTGAAAGCAAAGAAAGGTTCTGTCAATGACGAAAGAAAAAATTCCAATGAACAGGAAATAATGATTGATATCAACTCTTAGAAGAGAAAAGGGCTAAAGGAGTATCATGCAAAATGAAAAGAAATAGAGTAATACCAGCTGGGTATCCAGCAAAGATGAATATTTTCTTTGAAGAGAGTAGAACATTTAAATCTATAGAACCTAAAGGAACTTGTCAACAAAAATCTACAGCTAGATAATTATAAACTGAAATATATAAGCAAATAGTAAAATAGTCTCAATTATGAAGTTTAATGCCCAAATCTCTTCTTTTTATTGTCCATAAGATTTTTTCTTTACTGTAAAAGGGATTAAAGATATTTATTTCAATAACTGTTATAAAAATTCTTACCCTTCAGCCCTATTCTCATGACAGCCATTGCATGAGCTCCCTAAACATATCTAGAATATGAAGCTTGTTCAGACTTCAGTCACCAGAGGCCTTAGATTTGAGTCCCCATTTCCTATTACTATTAACACAATTTTTAAGTTCTATTTCTAAGCCTTCAAGAAGCAAATACGAATAGCTTTAGAAATATTACACGCTACCATATTTATAGTTGTATTAGTGAAAATAATTGTTTGTTGAAGTGCTGCTGTCTTAATGCGGGACTAGATTTTATATAATTAAGTATAATTTCAAGCATCTAGTAGTCCATAGCCCCAAAATGTACATTTACAAATAGAAGGACAAATATGTATAAAGTACTCACTTCAACAGTCTCAATTTTTCCCTCATGGGGATGTGGTGTTCTTGGGTAGATATCAAGAAGATGTGGTGGCGAATCAAAATGTAATCTTTTGAGACTTTTTTTAAAAACATCTTTACAATTCAGCTCATCAAAGTTAGTCCTCCATAATAAAACCTATTACAAATTAATCACATTGGCAGTTATTAACTTGCATGTACAAACTATAGAATTAAAAATATATATATACAGAATTGTCCCTCAAAATAGTCAGAAAGTCTAGATATAGATTTCAACAACATTACTACTTCTCGATGCTTTTTTTTAAGGGTGGGAGGCAGAGATTTAGCATTTTGAATTGCCTTCACGCTCAGTTTAAAATTCATATTAAATTCATATTATTACCTTAGAATTTTATTTTTTTCAAACCTAAAGTCATGTTGTCTACTTTATTCAATAAATCTGGCTATGAATGACTTTCAAGTAAAAGCAGATTTTCTACAAAAACAATTTAAATTTACCATCCCCAAGAATCTTAAATTTGAACAATAAGACATATTGACAAAATATTAGGCAATAATTCAAGTGAAAGTTCCACAGCAACATTGGGCATTCAACGTTAGTTACATGTATAATTAAGTGTAAAGATGAGCAAAAGAAAATAACTGCTGCTTTACTTCCAAAACCTACTAGAACTGGCACTATTTCAGCTATGAAATAGCGGACTTCCTGGCATTAAATTAAAATATAAATTCAGTACTCATCTTCACATATGTCATCTAGTTGGTTGTAAAAGTCTTCACTTAAGTCTTGAATTCCTTTACTCTAACCAAATCAAAGAGAAGGCTGAAAGATTTACAAACCTGTGCATCTGCACCTCCTGATGAAAATAGCTCTCCACCTTTTGAAAATGAAACAGTAAAGACAGGTCCCTAAGAAATAAATGGAGATAAAAGAAAAAGTACTTGGTGATGCTTTCTCATGGCCAAGAGGACTGTGAATATTAATTTTTTGGGCCTAATTTATGTAGACTATTTACATAATAAGTCTGAGAGAACATATTCAATTGCTAGCAACTAATGCACGCAAGATAAAGATAATCAAAGAACCAACCCAATTATATTAAAATACATGGAAATGATACTTAATGAAAAAGAAATTCTAATAAAAATGAGAAAATACACTTTTTTTTCCTTTAAAGAAAAGCTTATACATGTGCAAGTTAATAAGAATTTCTGTTAAGATTTTCTGGCTTCGGACTCTTTATTCAACAAGTCACTAGCAGAAACTGAAAACTCTGTGAGTGATGGGAATGAAGCTATATGAACAAAGGCCATTTCCTGACCATAACAGGCTTCACTGAGTTAGCCCTTCATGTGGGCAATAGTGAGCTACTAATAATTTTAAAAGCAGGATATATATAGGAGGAGAGCTGTGACTGATGAAAACTGATATCACAACTGTGAGAATAATGAAGTAAGAATGAATGGTTGGAGGCCAGTTAGGAAGTTAGTGCAATTATCTGGATGAAACTGATCAATGACTGTGAAGTTGGACAAAACTACTCTTGGCCCAGTTGCAAGATGCACAGCCTGTAGGTCAATTTTTCAATCTGGATAAGAGTAATTCTTTCTCATTTCTGGTTTTTAAATATGTCCTTAATCTATGTAAGAAAATTTTGGGGGAAAAATATATTTTTCAAGTAGACCATCCCATACACTTAAGTACTGTAGCCTTATAAACACCTCCTCTAGACTATGAAAAGATTCCATCTTCATACATACTTTTTTTCCCTAAAATACTATCTTTATTCTCTATTAATTTGTACTATTTCCATGGATATTTTAATCCTTGGCTACTTTTACTGGTTGTTATTCAGCTTAAATCTGTGTCTACGTACATATTTGGCTAGTATCTATTTCTGCTTTACTCTGACACAGCTGCAGAACAAATGATAAAGCAAAGCAGGAAGCCAGGCAGGATATATGAAGGCAGAAAGAACCCCTTCTCCTCTAGACCACAAAGCCCATTCTATTTTTGGATATAAAATGCTTATACTTGGTTAAAAGAGGTATCTAGTACTTAAAAAAAAAAAAAAGAAAAAGAAAAAGAAAAAGAGGATGTATTCTAAAAAATTAGAGAAGTTTGAATATTTACCCAGAAAGGAGGAATAGTTTACATACTTAAAAAAGTTTATCTTTAGTTTGTTATATGCCAGGTGGTGGTGGTGGTGGTGGTGGTGGTGGTGTGTGTGTGTGTAAGAGAGAGAGAGAAAAAGAGAGAGAGAGAAAGAGAGAGAGAGAGAGAGAGAGAGAGAGAGAGAAAGGGAGGGAGGGAGGGAGCTCTCCTCTCACTGGGCTCTAAAACAACTGAGGAATAAGACAAAGGTATAAGGCATATGGGAGCCAGAATGCCATCTTTCTCACTAATAAAGACTTGTAAAGAAAGAATGTGGCTTTATCTGTGGGAAAATGGGCTTTCTAGAACTGAATTCCAGAACAAGACAGATTTGAGTGCCCCGTCACAGGCAAGACTGGAGAAGGAAAGGCCTCCCCACAAAAAGTATCAGAGAAAAACAGAGAGGACAGGTTTACTCCCAAGAGTAGAAGGCATTGGGCTCTACTTGTTAAATTCTCCTTTTATTGTCACCAGCTTAGAGAAAGAAGTGACTGAGGGCGTGTGAGAGGCTCAGAATGTCAGAGCTAGTGGGACGGCCTCCACTGGAGAAGAAAGATTAGAAGAAAAAATTTATCTATCACCACTTACCCAGTCAAACCTATATTACATCCTGATGAAGATACTAGTGGAGGATTAACTTAATGGCCATTGAAAGATACACATTGATTTTGACAAGAATTACAATATTTCTGAGAGTTGCTTCCAGAGGATAAAAACATAGCCTATGAAGCCTCCTCAAAATTTTACAATAGTGGCAATGTGTACACTTGGAAAAAGAATAGACATGTAATGAAATGGATCAAAACTTTAAAACATATATTATTTACAAAGCAAAAATCTTAGTGTTAATACCGTATGTCCTTGAAGTGTATATATGAGCCTTCCTTCTAGGAGATCCAGAATCTTAAGTGTACCATCTGAAGAAGCAGTGATGAGATAGTTACCCGAAGGATGGAATGACACACAATTAACTCCACAGTTGTGAACTGATTTGTAGAAAACAAAACAAAAGTTTCAGTGAACAAATCTTAATTGCTAAAGAAAACAAAGTAAAAATTTCAGAGAACAATTCTTAATTCTAAAGATGCCCTTTTGCCCGATTAGCAATATTAGGTTGAAAACAAGAATCACAGGTAATGTCTTCGCAACACCAAAATTCCACAGAGCTCACTAAAATAAATAAGTAGTTTGACATCATACAGCTTAAGCTTCCAGCTATTGAGACAGAATGGCTTTAAAAATGAGAGCGTATCATGGAAAGATAATTTTGTTAACCACATAACTATAAAGTCTTCAACTATATTACCAATATAGCCAACGGTTGATTACTACTGGTTCCCATAAGGTATATAACCTAGCTTTCAACTAAATTAACCAATTAATGGCTTGGTACTAAGATGGTGAGGAGTGTGGAGATACATTTAGAGAAGGGCAGTCTTGCCAGCTTGAGAATTCATTTCTGGATACCATCCTTCCAATAGGAGGCAGTATAACACAGTGATTGAAATGTTCTTAGATGTACTTTGTAAACGTAAAGACCCAAGTAGGTTCTATCAATTGTTTTAGCGAGTCACTTACCCTCTTTAAGCCTCAATTTCCTTATCTTTAAAACAGGGGTAAAAAAATAATAATAACAAAATAAAATAAAACAGGAGTAATAATAATAATACATCTTAGAGCTGTTGTGAGGATTTAGCAGTGTCGGCTACCTGGTAACTATTACACTTATTAAGAAAGGGAAATGTGGATTTAATATAAATCTAATATAAACCAAGAAATTGATTCTTTTTCAACTTCAATACATAGGCACAGTAGGATGTTGCTTTCTACCAGTTATAACAAGTATTTGTGCTCACATAACTTTCTCTGAGTCATTTTCTACCCCTGACTTCTCACATAATGCAGACAAGCAGAGTCTGAAAATCTCACAATAACTTCTTTTTTTCACAGTCTTGGCATCATTTTTAAGGTTCCTCTACCAGCCTCTCCACTCTGGCATCTACCCCAGCTTCTCAGAGCATGTTGTTGATGGGGGCTAACTGTTCTCTAATCAGCTCAAAAGCAGCCCATGACTCTCATTAAGAGGGTCAGACCACACTGAGAAGGATAGTCTATCACTTTGAGGGTTTCCCAGAGAAAATCATTGAACAACTGAATTCTCCTGTTATGGAAATTGTTACCTTGATAATGCTGGAGTAATTTGTTCACTCTTATATCCCAGATTTTCACAGTATGATCAGAACCTGCTGAAGCTATGCATGTACCATTAGGGTTAAAATCCACAAAATTCGCAAACCTAGGAGGAAAAATATGATCTAATATTTTGATTTCTTTACTCTCATTTCTTTATTCAAATGGTAATAATTAAGCATCTCCTTAGCAAACTACTCTATATAAATGCACAAATAGCATAGACTTACCCTATAGAATCTGAGAAGTTATTGACACACTGCTTGCTTGTGGTATCCCAAATTTTAATAGTTTTATCCTCACTACATGATACAATTAGTCTTCCATCAGGTGAAAATCTGGAAAGCAAAAGAAAGAAGATTATTTTTGTGAAAGGTTCCTGATAATCACAATCACTCCCACCCCAACAAAAGACCGAACTCCCCAAGCCTGTAACTTCTTGGACATGGGGGAGGCCAGAGAGCTCCAATGGACCGAAAATAGGTTAACTCATTTATAAAGTACTGAAGTTCCCTCATGAACACACCTATCATCCACATGACCCCATTAAAAAGTAAATGAGAAAATTCTCAGACACCTTGTCTACTGTTTTTATGCTATCTTTTCATTTAAGAGTCTTTCCAAGGTTCTATTTTTTTTCTCCTAAGTGCATTTTTAGGATAGATAGAAGAGCAGAGGGCCAAAAGAAAAAGGAAGAAAAGAAAAGAAAGAAAAGAAAAGAAAAGAAAAGAAAGAAAAGAAAAGAAAAGAAAAGAAAAGAAAAGAAAAAAAAATTAGAATATTATAAAGCTATGAATAGCATTTCTATTATTAATGTTTCAGAAATAACAAAAACCTAATTATGTTACAATTTTATTTGTATTTCCCTCTATGCCCAGATCACTATAAAAGTCATCCATTACAGGTATGGATTATAATTAAAGGATTTTCTTTTAATTTTCTCCTTCTCTCTCTCTTCTCTCCTCCCTCTCTATTCCTAAGACTGACCTAATTCTTCTAAAGAGAAATTTGTGATCTAGCATTTATGGAGTCACCATATTTTAAAAAAGAACATAGGAGCATAATTAAGTTCACCATATTTTAAAAAGGAACATAGGAGCATAATTAAGTTCTATGTAAAATAATCTTTAAAATTTCAAGAAAATAACCTTGCAAGAAAATATCTTCCATGCTGGTAGTTCAGCTTAGTTGTATAATAACATAATATTTTATTAATCTTATCCACCAGAAAATAGGTGTTGAAGATTCAAATATGAAGGGCAATATTATAGAAATGCTTCAAATAGATGAAGTTTATTTTACATAAACCCTGGGGAAGAAACAACTACTCAGTATTCCTATGAAAATAAACTTTACATAATAATGTAAACAACTAATGCAAGGAATCAAATTATGTTTCCTAATAAGCTATCTTTTTAAAAAATTACTTAATATGAGTATTTCAAAGAGAATATTTCTAAGAGATGACTTGATTCTTACATTTAAAGAAAGCAATGATGAAAAAAATTAATAAAATGGAACTATCTGATTAAAAACAAAGTACAAAAATATTCATCCTACAACATTATTGGCCAAATCCTGCCACTACCATCATCGTCACTATCCTTGCCAACATTTGTTGAGTGACCGTAGTTCTAGAATTGTTCTTAATACATTATCTACAGCAACTCATTTAATCCTTAATTAACCCTACAAAACAGGTGGTACTACTAGCCATAATTTACTCATGAATAAACTGACAGAGTCACACAATCAAGAAGGTATGAACCAGACAATCTGGCTCAGTAGCCAAATCTCTCAGTCACTCTGCTTAAATCTTTGACAGAAAGGAAAGTTTCTTCTACTGGCCAAAGTATTGAGAGCACAGAAAGTTCTAAAGTAGAGAACTGTGAGCCAGATGCTATGTGATTGAGCTCTGAATGACAGACTAACCACTATACTACACTTTAATAAAAATCTATGTGTGCTACCAAATGCTGTCAGAGTTCCTGAGGAGTTTATGGGGGAGGATATTCATTCACTGATTCATTTGAATATTTACTGAGCCAGAAGCAGGCACTGGGCATTGTCCTGGGTCATGAGAATATGATGGCAAATGAGAGTAAAATCCCTGTCCTCATGAGGCTTTTAATCTAGGGAGGACAAAGGTGGGCGGGCACACAAATAATATAATTTTAGATAATAATAAAAAGAGTTTGTAACAAAAAAATGTGCCAACTTGACATTAGAAGCTCCATAGAAGAAAGAGGATTTTAAAGAAACTTATAAATAAGGAAAAAGAGGTATCTTGGCCTGCTAGAATCCACCCCGAGCAGGAGGGGCTATAACCTGAGAGAAATTCTCATGTGCTAAAGAAATGAAGGGAATGTGAACATCAGACAAGTGGAGAGTGGAAAAGACTGGGCAGAAGCTGGCACTAGAGGGAGCAGAGGTTTCTATCTCTAACCCCACATCGTCAAAGGGGGATTCAGTTAAGGCCTTCCTCTGGACACTACATTATAATCCCTGCATATACTCTCTGTATATGTTTTTTGCCTTTGGAGGAGCTGAAAGTCAAGATGGTGGTTTTCATCTTCCCTTCCCTACTTTTATTTTTAATTAGATACATCAAAAATAAGTCAGCACCAATAAAATACACTTCTCTTTGCCCTGACTTTGATCAGGAAAGGACAGTCCTTTCTTTGTTAGGGTTCAAACAACATCTGTGTTGTTGACTTTTAGAATGGCAAGAGGATATAAAATTTCTACCAAGATGTTAACAGATTTCTCTTATTCAGTTCTACCTTTTAAAATTTCCAGAGAGTGTGTCACTAAGATGAATACTATGTTAATCAAGTGACTAATGGATCAGCAGATGTGGACATTCTGTAAAGCATTTGAGAAGTTAACTAAACTACTATTTGATCTCTTAAAATGTATTGGTACTTATTCGAGAAAATGAGGAAATTCTTGAACTTCTTTCTAGAAAAACTGGTTCACAGAGTTCACATGTGCCCTCCCCCTCCTACCTCTTCCCTAATTTAAAAGCCTCATGAAGACGGAGATCTTGGTCTCATTCACCACCATATTCCATGTCAACTAAAGAGACAAACATTAATAAGAGGTACTCTGAAGCCAGCAGCTATTCAATAGGAACGGGGAACAGTAAAAATGACTAGAAATAAGACCGCCCAGTCAGTACAGAATCCTGAATTGTAGGACCAATTTTGCAACTGCCCAGCTCTGTAACCTTGTGAAACTCACAACCACCCTGGCCACCATTTTCTATTCGGATAAGGAGAGAGTCTGGATTGCATTCAGACCTAAAACTCTCATAGATTCATTAAAAAAAAAAAAAAAAAGAAAAGGAAAAAGAAAGAAATTGAAAACTTTTTTGAAAAGATCCCTTATTCTAGAGGTCATTTGAACATTCATGATTCATGGCAAGAAATCTGATACCAACAATAATAAGGGTGGGGAAGATGTTGATTGCAAACCTTACAAATTATATTGAGTGTTCAGGACTTCAGTAGAGGTGATGATTTAGATGTTAGAAATAGTAAGAAATGAGAATTAGATTTGAAACCTGAAACTCTGCTTGCCTGTAAAATTTATTAAAAAAAAAAAAAAAAAAGTCTCAGAGGGATTTGATGGGCATTTGTGTTTACATACTGGAAGGTGAAGTTCAAGGCAATAAGCAAAACATTTATGTTTTTTAAGTGTTGGTCAGCATTAGAAGAGAAACCATCTGTTGTTGATTGCAGTAATAGGACTCATTCCTGCAACTGCTGAGACAAAAAGCAAATGAAAGAGACATAAAGAGATTTAAGCATGCCATAAAACATGCTAATCATTTGTTGGATCATTTACCAATTACATGCCCAGACTTCAATTGGGATCTCCACCCTTAAGTACAACTGCCTACTGGGTGTCTCCTCTTGGAATATCCTACAGGCGCTTCCAACTCTGAACTTGTCCAAATCTGAACTCACCATCTTCCTTCCCAAACTGCTCTTTCTCCAGTGTTCCTTTTCTCTGTAAATAGTTTCTCAAGCCAGAAAACTAAGAGTCATACTTGATTCCTCTTTCTCCTCCACACCCCCGCATATCAATCCACTATTAGCCCCAGTCTCCTCAAACCATAATAGGCCTTGCTCTCTTCCATTCTCCACATGCGACAACAGTGATCTTTAAATCTTAAATTAAAATTTTCAGATTAAAGCCCTTTGTTGCTTTCACATTTCTCTTGGGAAAATGTCTGAAATCCTTACCACTAGTTATCAGGTTCTCCAGGATCTGTTCTCTTGACTCTTCATCTTCAATGCCCTACTTTTTCTGACCCCACACCTCTCTTTTTTCTGGTCCTCCTCCCTCCTGCCTCAGGTATTTCCTCACATGCTGTTTGTTTCCTGAGCCTCAAACACTGCTCCCTACTCTTTGTCTAGTTTAAAATACCTAAAAGAATCTTACTCATCCTTCAAATCTCTGCTCCCCTCACTTCCTCAAGAAAAGCCTCCCCGAATTCCTCACCCCCACCCTGCAGTAAGTTAGGTCCCCAGGAGGTATTCTTAGCATACCTCATACTCACACTTACATCACCCTTGCAACCGCATGTTCTGTTTGCTTCCCTAATGAATGTAAGCTCCAAGAAGAGAAAAATCACATGTGTCTTATTCACTGTCATATCCTAGACACAGTGCAGGGCGCTGAGTACATCCTCAGTAAACATTTAGGGCTTTAAAAAAAATTTTTTTAAGGGAATTGGGACTAATTTAATATTATAGACAATAAGAGCTGACAATTAAAATCTTTACAGTTTGTCGTGCAACATGAACATACTTATGCCACAGAACTGTATACTGAAAATGGTTAAAATGGTAAATTTTATATATATTTTACCATAATAAAAGAAAATCTTTGGAATTGAGAAGGTCAAAGATCACTTGCAACACTACCAACAACTGAAAGGCAGATTTCCCCCCTGAAAAATAATGCTAGAAGAGCAGTAATGCTGGAAAAGTTGTCTCATTAGCCTCTTTGTATTTTTGACTATGGACATCATAAAGAAACATAAGTTATCTCACAGCATACATTATTTAAAAAAAAAATAAGGGCTACAATAATTTTAACTTTTAGAAGAATTCTTTTATCACTAAAAAGAGATATTTCTCACCTCCATATTATATATATAGGTATATCGGTCTATCTATATATATAATGATAAATGTTTTCATTATTCATTAAAGAAAAATTACTTGTTAAAAAAACTGGGAAATGTAGTAAGTAAAAAAAATCCATAGTCCCATCACATTTAATATTTTGTATGTGATAGGTACTTTATCTTTTGATCAAAAGTTCT